GGGTCATGAAACGCAATCATCTGTAGGTCGAGCATAATTTGCGCTGAAAAAAGGACACGGAGACTTTCCAGCTTGTTCAGTCGGAAATAACAGTGTTCTTGGCAAACGTAACTGCATGTTGTTTTAAGCGTAGTTGGCGTGCGGATCGATTCAGGTTTGTGCGTATCACGACAGTCAAGAAGACCAATCCTTTGAATAACACGCACGGCGCTGCACATTTTCTTCCGATTTAAGGGTAGACCGGTGTTATAACTATTGTATGGCTGCCAGTGTTCATCGGTTTCGATGTATGGCGGGACCGGGCTCGGTGACTTGAGCTGTAACTGCCACACGCTTTGATCTCACCTGCGTTAGCTAGGTGTCAAGACAGGGTCAATTGGACTGGAGACGAAATGCGACCCACTGGCTGAAAAATTAAACACGTTTTTACTCGAACAACAAAGAGGGTTACCTAGATATCAATTGAGTCGGCGCGTCGTAGATGTCATAGAAAGCAGGAGCTTTTGCAGAATGAAGGTCCCTTCTAAGAGCAGCAGAGTTTATCTCGTCTGCTGGGCTGAAAAACTAGGTTTAAGTGTGGAAACTCAGGGTTCTTGGGAGGGGTCTAGTAGTTCAGGTGCTATAATATTAGCTCAACCCATCATTTCTTCGGTTAGAACCGCATCGAACGTAAATTGCTATCTAGTCGAAATAATCACCTATTTCCATTATATTAACAACATTACGGTCGATTTCTAAAAAAATGTTGATGACATCTTTGGTCGGTCCTCAAAACCATAAAATCAGTTTTTGCCCTCATGTACCCCCATGTCTGTGCCTGAAATTTTCCCTGAACTAGGTGACTTCGTAGCAAAATTATCACACAAAGTCGGATAGAAAGTGTATTAGGATCGTAAGCACTCTTAAAGCAGGACAATTAGCAGCCAGTGAAGTAAAACTTACCTCGAAGTTTTCACCATGTGTATCGTTTTGTTTAAATATTTTTCCACTTTGTCGACTAGAGCTACAACAGTACAACCTGGGCTCCTTGGGAAGTTGTAATTCTGAACAACTCACAGAACGTCCACCGAAACTTCAATGACATCCATTTCACAATTGGCAATGCTTTGGATTCGCAGACTTGCGATCGCTGCTACAATGGTCCACTCACACCTGGAACTACTTACAGGTACTGTCCTTTATTAAACGCTAAATGTTAATCATAAAGTGCGGACACGCTGCCCTTGTTTATTATTCCTTTTGCGCAAAGTTCATCTGATTAAACATGATGGATAAATTGTTAGGTTTTTTCATTTGGTTTAAGTAGCGCCGGCTAAGTTGACAGCGCAGTCTTAAGTACAGCATAATAAGCTTTTACGATTTGTAGGATTGGCGTAAACTTCTACACGGAGACTGGGGTAGGATTGACCGCACTTCAGGAGCTGTCGACATCGCGTAAGATGCCCCTTATTGCTGTTAAATATTTTTCTCTCTTAGAACATTTTCTCTATTTTATGCAGATTTTGTGGGTCTTTACGCTCCTTTCCTAACCTTCCGCGGCTGCACCCATAAGGACCTTTTATCATGTCCATTTTCTTGCCTTCTGATGTCTCCGGTAGGCATTTTCTTTCCCCTCCGTTATACATATTTACAAACAGAAAAGAACTTCCTCACAAAGATTTCTAATCAACGAACTTTAAATACCGTGCAAGCTGTGCATGGTTCAGCTCTGTGTGTGCATGATTAAGACTATCCTCTTATTGCCTATCCCGACAAAATCCGAAACGTGAAGATAATAAAACTCTTGTTCCAGTGGTCACATCTTCCTCTTCTTCTGGACTTATAATCTGCCAGCGTTCTGCTAAAAGGTAGTCGAGACTACTCCCGCTCTTCAAGCGTTGGACTGCAGTTATTGTTTCTCACCGTCCTGTTTTCGTAGGTGCCAGTTGTTAACAAAGACATTTAAAAAGGATTATTTCCTTTCTACAAAGTAGCTATTTACCATAGGGCATCAGCTAAGTGCTCGGTTTTTGGCACAACTTGAACTCGACGCTTAAATAGACTCACAGCGAGAAAGGGGGGTTACCCCCTGCTTTGGGGGATTGGGGACTGTGTAGGCACAATCTCTCAGCTGCCTGCTGGTAGGTGTTGCTTCGTTTTGTCAGACTCCGCCCTAAGGCCCATGTCTGGCCGAAGTTATGTTGTTTTGCCATGAGGGCATAATGTGTGACAGATGGTGCGCAATCCACCCCCCTACAAAATAATCCATAGGTGCATACCAGCGCTGTTATTCCTAATCTGGCGAAGGCCTTGGTTGGACGAATGCAACCGTTACCTGAAATGAGATGCTATCTCGCTTTTTATTGGGTTTGTCATTGGAGCGACGGAATTTCCTGCTTTCGATCAAATGGGATTCTTGCTCGTCAGCTGTCTGTAAGGGCAGTTTTTAAAATTTATATTATTTTCTTACTAACCAACTGTTCTCCTCCAGAAACAGTTGAGTATACACTAAAATATACTGACCAAATGTGCCGAGGGATCCTGCAAATTCGCTACGATAAGTGTTCGAAAGAGAGATTTGATAATTTATTTAGTTTGGAGGTCGGCTGGGATGTAAACCCAATCTTTAGGCTGTTTTGCAACGTTGGGTTTACTGAGTGTAGCCAGCCACTGCAACGGAGCCCACCTGTGATTGACTTTATACGACTTTCCATCGCAGCGAGGATGGCCAACTGCTATGTAAGTCCACCTTATTATGAAATAATTCATGGTCGCCTGCCGTCTGTGCTAGGACCGCTCCATATGGCAGATGACGGACGTCGTGGTTGACTCATGGAGTCCTTGTGTTAGCATAGGACGTATTTGCCTAGGTGCCAATCGATGTGTTAATCTAATCGCTAGTTAGATAGTTTTTAGTCGGCAGCATACACTTGCGGGCTGAAGGTGCAGAGGATACTGTTATATTTGGACCGCGGAAAGCATCAGTGTCCAATAACATAAACAGACTTTCGTTTTTGCTAAGAGGACTCGTTTTTGTTGACTTCAGCTTACTTATGCCTTTACCACGGCGTTCTTATTCTTGGCCGTAGGGCAACCAGCCTTCACCCTCATTGGTGTCCGGCAGCTTAATATCGTCTGCAGCTCGGTCTTCTGTCGTCAGTAGCAGAGTCTCGTCCCGACAGCAACAGAATGCTGCCTCGGTGGCAGCGTATTTAAGGACCAACGGCTTTTCACGCTTTATCTCCTCTTAGTGGCCTTTTCAGCAGAAATCATGCGCTGTCCTCACGGTGACACGTGGGCGCTCGCTCTGCCCCTGGCCAGGCGTGACCTCAGGAGGACAAAACCGGACCTGTCTTGCGTGCGCGCAACTCTTTGCGTCTTGAATGCAATGGCATTATCGCGTGTTCTCTCCTTTTTTGTCCTGACCCGAGGTCGGCAAGAGTGTTGACTTCTGTGCCGTCCTAACAGTATGTGTTTGGGGCAAGGATTTGGTTATCGACTTACTTTGGAGGTCGGATCAGATGCAGACACTAGTTTTACGCTGTTCGGCAGCGTTGAGTCTAACAAGTTTAGCC